TAGAACTCTCCGACTCCCTCATCTGCTCAGAGCGCTGCGAGGTGCAAAGGGAGAGGGCGCGCAAAAGTCCACACCTCTCCACATTTCAGAAACGTGCGCTCAACAGGGTGACAATCAGCCGCCCGTCGCACCGCAGAGAGCGACCAATCAGGTTATAACACCTTTTGCTTTTCCTCTCCGAATGTGGCCTCTGAGCTGTGTCGCCCGCCTCTCGGCTCCGGCGCCACAAATTGGCTTCCAACAGAAACCCAAGGTGCCAAGGAGCCATTAGGCGGACAAAGGCTTGAAGTCGTCCCGGTGGTTAATGTGTCAAAAACCCCTTCGTTTGTGCAATACGTGCCAATCAGCCCTTTTTTTTCCCTGTCGCTTTTTCCCCACCCGCAGAGTTTTGAACAGCGCCCGTGCACCGACCCGATCCGTCTAATAAGGGACGGAGATCATCCGGACTTTAAAAAAAGGAGTCGTCTCGTTTTATAAGGCGGGATCTGGATAGTGTGTGAGAGGCGGAGGAGGAGGAGGAGGAGGAGGGCTGTCGTGATGAGAAGCAGTGACAAAACACCTGCACCGCCAGGCCACAACAAGGCCCACATTTGTCAGCCGGGCCCATCTCCAATTAAACCAACGGCGTAATCTGCCCCTGACAGAGCGGATTAGGCGTTGTCCTGGTGGGGGCCCTCATAGGAGGTAGGGGTGGGGGTGGTGGATAAAGAGAGAGGGTAAAGCGTGGCTGGCAACTTCATTTCCCGGGGAAAAAAAAAAAACACCCGAGCATCCTCTGGTGGAGTTACCTGACTCAGCGCGGGTTGACCGTCGGCTGACGTGCCTTTTTTCTCCTTGTAGGAATCAAATCCAGTGCGAGATAACAGCTAATCATTTGTCACCCGGAGAAGCAATTCCCTCCAATCACCCGCGAGGAGAGCGCCGCTTTATTCCGAGGTGCTGTCAGGATGGCAAGAAATTACATTCAGCCGTGCTTCCCCCTCTCAGCTGCCCCCCCCCCCCCCCCAAGTCTCTCCCGAGTCCCGTTTGGAATGACAGAACAACAGCTGACAGGAGAAAGATTGTCCTTCCAACCGCTAACACATGTTCTCCCGTGACTACACCTGGCTGCATTTCCGCATCCCGGACTCCAAACCGGTTCCCAAGCAGGCACCTGGGGCCGAAACAACACGTGGGCCCCCAGGAAACACCGGAACACATAATCGCAGCGGGGGGGGCTTTGGGAAAAAAAAAAAACACGCGCTGGCAGAGAGCGCGGACACGCAGGTCCGAAAAAGCAAACGCACACAGATAAACACTGTGTCCCGTCCACGCAGCTGTTTCCTTACTGGGATTCCTCGAGTTGTTCCTCTGTGACTCGAGAGCTGCTTTTCTCAGCTAGGAAAAAAAAAAAAAAAAACATTTGGACCAACGGGGCCAAGCCCAAACGCTTCGCAGCAAATTTCCAGGGCCCAGACGTTTCGGAGAGGGTTTTCGTTTCCTTTATGCAGCACCGTGGGCAGCGTTATGAGGAACAGGAAGCAGTTGTCACAACTTCAGTTTTTTTTTTTTACCAGACAGAGTGAATCAGCCTCTCGCAAGATTTTCTATTGAACTTTAGCTCCGTTCCCCTTTTTTTCTACTCGTCTTCTTGAGCAAGAGGGGGGGCCCTTTCACCCGCGTCGTTACTCCGCCGTGAACCTCGGCCCCGGCTTTTCGGAGAAAGTGTGACGCATTCGTTTTGGCCCGGCGGACTGAAAGGTGGGCAAACGTTGGGAACCCAAAAAAAAAACAACATCTGGCAGTTGCCTACGGTGACGTCGGCGCCACCTCGGGCTGCGGAACGCGGCCGGATCGCGGCCCTGGGTGAAACGCTGCTGGTGTTGGTGTGCCAGAGCGCGATGACAGAGAAGCAAAGCAGAGGCAGCTCTCTCTTCAGGTTTTATGTTTTTGAGTTAGCGACTGGATCTGGGACGGCTGCCCACATAGCATTGGTCATACTTAATTACATTATGCACGGCGTGGGGATATTCATAGCATCCATGAGCAGCAAATTAAAAGGGAAAAAAAGAGACAATATTGCCAGTGTGGAAAAGGACCTCTGACACTGAACGAATTTGGCGATTTATAAAAAAAAAAAGAAAAAAAAAGAAGCAAGTCAAAAAAAAAAAAAAAAAAAAAAAGACACCGTCCTATTTGATTAGCGATGCTAAATTAACGTCAATTGAGGAAAGGGGAGCGTAAGTGGAACCTGAGAGGAGATGAGCGCGGCGGTGGCGTCTGGGAGACACTAGCTTGTTGATGGCATAATGCTAAGTCTGTGCATTGCAGATAAGAGTGGCATACAGTAGGCCCTGGGCCCAAAGCTGTTTGTGTGTGCACGGATGTGTCTTATGTGTCAGAGAGTGGGGGGAGGAGGAGGCGTGTTTGCACACAGATATATGCTAGTGCATGTGTGTTAGCATCCAAGACAAATGAGAAAGGTGCTTGACGGTGTGAAGCGACTTATCTCTCATTATGCGGAACAGTGGATGAATAAAACTGTTGATGGAAGGGAGAAACAATTGCAGTGGGGGGGGGGGGGGAAAAGAAAAAAAAGTGAACCATTTAGTATGGGCCGAGCACATTTTGCCAGTTCATAGGTTAAAAAAAATAACTCAAAAAATGAGGCAGCCATGATCACCTTGGCTTTGATTCTTTCCCCAGAGGAACTAGTAAGTGGTTTATCAATGAGCGGATGTAGAAAGCCGAAATACCAAGAGATACTTTAGACATATCTTAGGTTTAGCTAAATAATGTATGCATACTTTCACTTGAGCATGATGAAGCAATTCTGGCCTTTGCAAACTGCGTGAACCGCGGTGATATTCGCTTCCTGCACGCTTGAATAATTCAAGCAGCCAGGTGGAGGGTCTCAGAATACTTGCCGCTATCTCCTCTTCTGGCAAGTAAAAGAGGCCGACTTTTATTCCAAATGGCCTCATAAAACATTCAAATAGGTGTGAAGGCGGGAGGTGTGTTGTACTTTCTGACACCCATGTGAAATTTCAATCTAAATTGGGTTTTTTAAACGCTGTCAGGGATGAAAAAGCGGCGCTCGGGATCGCACCGAGTGCACAAAAAGGCGGACGTCTCTCCGCTCAGCTCTCATGTCTTCACCTACATGCGTGAGTGTTCAGGTTCAGGCCTCCATTGAGCTCCTCTCAAGTCACCCTGGATGAGGGGCGTCAGCCAAATGGCTAAAATGTAAATGTAAAATGACAGGCCCTGGAGATTTCCCTGCCCTGGGTGTATATGTGTGTGTGTGTGTGTGTGTGTGTATCTGTGTGTGTGTGTGTGTGCGCGTTTTTTCCATGGAGTTCAGGTTTGCCCTTGATAAAAGAAGGAGAGGGAGAAAAAAAAAAAAGAAAATATATTTGTGCCGAAGAGCAGAAAAATGAATAGAGGGATTTGGCGGCACAAAAGTGTGTCTGACAGGTTGAAGGGCTGGAACCGTGAGCGAACGGACACCTTGGTGGGTTTACTGAAGTGGCGGCTCCTGAGCGGATATGAAAGGAGGTGGGGGTAGGTGGGGGGGGGGGGGGGGGGGGGAGGTGTATGACGCTGGGACCTGCAGAAATAACCCTCACTGCTCCCTCAGAAAACCGTGTTTCAAAAAAAGTTCAAACCGAACAAAAACCAGGCCTTACGGGAAAAGTTACGGCTCGCCGGGCCTCCGTTTCGAAGATATGACTTGTTTTTTTATTTGCGTCCCACCTTCTTGCTGACACTTAAATTTCCCTCTGGGATGCATTGACCGGGTAAGAGGCG